ATTCTAGTCCAAAAACAATATGATTGTGTAGTTAAGAGCATCAGGAGTGATAATGGTGGTAAATTCATTGATGATGACTTTAACTGCTTCTGTGATCAACTGGGTATTCTACATACTTTCTCAGCTCCTAGAACTCCACAACAGAATGGAGTGGTGGAGAGGAAAAGCAGATCCCTCATTGAATATGCTCGAACCATGCTTTTAGAATTTGACTGCCCTAAATTTCTCTGGGGAGAAGCAGTCAATACTGCCTGTTATGTTTTAAACCGGACTACTATTCGCAAAGTAATTAACAAAAATCCCTACAAAATATTGAAAGGAAAAACTCCTAAACTGTCTTATTTTCATCCTTTTGGAACCAAATGCTTCATTTTAAACAATAAAGACTCAATTGGAAAATTTGATGCAAAGTCAGATATCGGTATCTTTCTTGGATACTCTAGTAAAGGTCAAGCTTACAGAGTTTTCAATAGAAGGTCTAGAAAGGTTGAAGAGTCAGTGCATGTTCATTTTGACTCTTTCCATCCATCTCTTCCTTTACACTTTGATATAAATAACTATGATTTTCTGCCTCTTAGCACTTCTCTTGAGACAGGAAATGCTTCCAACAGTGAGGAATCTCGTGATACTGAATCCAACAACTCAGTACCACCTGAGTTCGATTCAGCTGAAGATCTGGACAATATTGAAGCTCCAGCTCACATCAGAAAAGGACACCCACCTTCGCAAATCATAGGTAATCTGACTGACCCTATTCAAACTAGAGGTAAGCACATCCCAGGTCAGTATGCTTTTGTTTCTCTGCTTGAACCTAAAAACTATAAAGAAGCTATACTTGATGAAGAGTGGTTACTTGCTATGCAAGAAGAACTGTCTCACTTCATTAGGTTAAAAGTCTGGGAACTTGTCCCTAGACCTGTTAACATCACTATTATAGGCACTAAGTGGATTTTTCGAAACAAATAAGACGAATTAGGGTGCATTATAAAAAATAAAGCTCGTCTAGTAGCTCAAGGATACAATCAGGAGGAGGGGATAGACTATGATGAAACTTTTGCACCTGTTGCTCGTCTAGAATCCATTAGACTTCTGTGTGCCTATGCTAGTTACATGAACATAAAACAGTTTCAAATGGATGTTAAAAGCGCCTTCTTAAATGGAGAAATCAAGGAGGATGTCTATGTTGAACAACCTCCTGGATTTACAGATTGTGAATTCCCTGATCATGTTTATAAACTGTCAAAGCACTGTATGGTCTCAAACAAGCTTCCAGAGCTTGGTTTGAAAAACTGACTTCCTTTTTGATTTCACAAGGGTTCAGTCAAGGTGGAGTTGACAAGACACTTTTCATTAAACATCAGAATGAACACTCCTTGATTGTCCAAGTATATGTGGATGATATAGTATTTGGTAGCACTGACTAAAAAATGTGTGAAGAATTCTGCTATGCCATGGAAAATAAATTTGAAATGAGTCTTACGTACCGTTTGGTATAAGTGAATTCCATAAGTTTTGAGGAATTCATTTGGAAATGAAATATTTTTGTGTTTGGTATTTAAAAGAATTCTTTCAATTCTAAATTTTGAATTCTATGGAATTGAAACTAGTTATAGCAATTCCGAGGAATTAAGATGGAATTTGCAAATGAATTCTACAAGTATTTACTAATTACAATAGAATGACATAATTATCTTCTTTTATTAACTAAATTACTTATACATATGACATACCAAACACAGAAATTCATTTGACAATGAATTCTACACTGCAATTCATTTGATTTATAAAGATTTGAATATGACATACCAAACACAAGATTTCATTTGAAAATGAATTCTACACGGTAATTCATTTTACAATGAAATGAATTCTCGATTCATTTGGTACCAAACGGTCTGTTATGGGGGAAGTGCACTACTTCCTTGGTCTGCAAATTCACCAATCTGACTTAGGAATTTTCATTCACGCTAAATATCTTCAATCCACACTGTCCAAACTTGACTTATTAAAGGTCAATCCATGCAAAACTCCCATAGCTTCAAACTCTCACTTAGACTATGATTTAACTGGTCAACGTGTCTGTGAAAGAAAATATAGAGGCATGATAAGGTCTTTGCTTTACCTTACAACCAGTAGATCTGACATACAATTCAGTGTCTGTCTGTGTGCTAGATTTCAACATCAACCAAAAGAAAGTCACTTAAAAGCTGTGAAAAGAATTTTTAGATACTTGAAGGGTACAAGTGATCTTGGTCTATGGTATCCTAGGTCTGATTCCTTCTCCCTTTCTGGATACTCTGACTCTGATTTTGCTAGGAGCTTTTCAGACAGAAAAAGTACCAATGGTACTTGTCAATTTGTTGGTCGATCTCTTGTGTCCTGTTCAAGTAAAAAATAAGGATCTGTAGCCTTGTCAACTGATGAGGCAGAATATGTGGTTGCAGGGAGTTGTTGCACCCAGATTCTATGGTTAAAATCCCAACTAATTGATTATGGCCTCAAGGTTAACAAAATTCCTGTTTTCTGTGATAACACTAGTGCCATATGTATGTCTAAAAATCCTGTTCATCACAGTAGAACCAAACATATTGAAGTAAAACACCACTTTATTATAGATATAATACAAGCTGGTCATATTGAATTAAACTTCATCCCCACTGAATTCCAAATTGCGGATATCTTCACTAAAGCACTCTCTTCAGAACGATTCATAAGACTTTGTGATGAATTTGATCTTCAGTCCTTTCACTCCATCCAAGGCTGTCATTAATACAGATTCTGTTCTTCCTTTACTTATGTACTTGCTCTTACTATTTCGTTGACTGCTTCATTTATGACTGTTATGTTCCTCTAATTATTGTTAGTTCATGCATGTGATGGTTGGTTTCTCAATAAAATTGTGATTTTCTAAGCACTTTGCTGCATCTCTCAACATTCTGAAATAGCAATATAAATCTTCATCCCCTCACCCTCATTCTCCCCTGCTGACACTCACTCATCATGACTGAGCTGTTTACATCCTCCAACATCCTTGGTGCTATTGTTACTTATGTTGGTCGCTCATTTAACGAGCCTATTGATTTTAACCTTCACCGCTTCAAAGAATTCTATGCTTCCCGTCCTCTGTTTGATCCCATTACCCTTGACTTGTTTGAGTTCAAATCCCATGGGATTGATATCACGCCAGTTATCCAAAACCTGGGTTGGGAATTCCTTCTTCACTACCCTCCCCTGACTGCTTGTCCTCTTCTAGTTCGCACATTCTATGCTAATCTGGACTGCCAGGGGATCACCACTAGAAAACTCGCCACCATGGTTAATGGTTATTTCATCTCTCTCACTTCCGAAGCTATTGGAATTCTCCTGAATCTTCCCACAGGAGGACCCCTTCCTCTGGCTCATAAAGATGAGTTTTTAATTTATAACTTTGACCATGTGATCGAGTATTCTCGGATCACTCAACGACCAGTAGGGGCACATGAAGTGATCACCTCAGCTGATCTGAACCCCACTCTATGCACTCTCCACTATTTCATCACTCATCTTTTCTTACCCCGAAACCATGGCCTTCACATTGTCACCAAGATCGACCTCTGGGTTCTATCCAATGCCCTCACTGGAAGGAAGATTGAATATTCTCAGCTGCTGTTTGGCTCAATCGTTCGAAGTGCTGATGCTCACCTTGCGGGGCGCCTTCCTTATGGTGGTTTAATCACTCTTCTCCTATCAATTCTTGGTATTTCCCTTGATGGATACTCTACTGTGGACTCATCAGTATCAATCCCAACTCTCACTGTTCTGCAATTTATTGGAGTAGACCCTCAGCCTTCGAAAGGGGGAAATATCTCTGGACCAGCAGCAAGAAAAACCAAACCCTTCTCCAAGATGATGTCTAAATCCCTGAAGCTCGGTGAAAATTCCTCCTCTTGTTGGACCAAGCAAGGTCAATAATGAATACTTTTGACGTGGTCAATGCACAAATTAATTCTGATTTCAATAGTGAGAGATTAGCACTATCTTGATTGAGCAATCCAATAGGACTTGCAAAGAATCTCTCTTGAAGTGATTAATTGGTTGGCACTGATGAAGAGAACAAAGTTAGAGAAGGTATAGAGAGAGAGATGAGTCGGGACAGACGATTTTAACGTGGTTCGGCCAATATGGCTTTACATCCACGTCCCGGAGATAGTTACCACTATCTCACGAGAGACTCTAACTTTTATTGAAATAAAAGACTCTATAACCTATGAAATTGAAACAACCTTGACACTTCGTGTCAAGAACCAAATAGGTGCAACTCCACACCTATTCAACCCTTAGCTAAATCCAAGCTAAGCTACCCACTCAATAATCAAGCCAGCACTCTTAGTTTGACTTGATTGGAGAGTAATTCACCTAGTGCAACTCCCAAGTAAGAATCCCCTCTTGCTCTTGCACTAGTCCCAATTAAAAATACCATTCCTACCCTAAAACCCGACCTAGCTTGAATATCTCAACCCCCGAGATATCAAGCTATTCACACCACAAAATATGATCACACAATTTCGCTATTACAAGGGAGAAGAGAGCTTTGCAAAAGGTGCTCTAAACTACAAATGACTCTCCTATTTATAGTGAAAGCAAAACTCCATTTCCTTTCATTTGTAGTCCTTTATATGGCAAGTATCTCCTTGATTTGATATGCTCTTCACTTGATATGGTAGCTTCTTGAAGGCCAAGCAATTGCTTTGAATTCTTTCCTTTTCTTAGCAAATCTTTTCAAGACCTTGATTGTGATATTTCTGCAAGAAATGTTAGTCTAAAATAAAAGCACATATTCAAGACAATATAAAATTGCTAAGTCAAGCTTTTTGACTCAACAATCTCCCCCTAAGCTTGATTTAGCATCCTATTGCAGCATATGCTTTTCCATATAGCCATCACAGATCTCACTACTCATTCAACTAATAAATAGAAACTTCAAATGATATAGACCATGATATTCATCCTGAGTATAGCCCAGGGTTTTAAGAGTTTCATTCATCCTAAGCATAGCTTAGGGAATTATTGAGACCATTCGCAGTTAATTTGACAAACTCGAAAAAAAAAAACAAGCCGAAAAAATTCCCAGATACTCCCCCTAAGAGTCTTAATCCAAACTCCCCCTAAACTATTGCTCTTAATTGTTTTGATCAAGATCCTAATTTTCATACATAACCACTCCCTTGGACGCATTCTGTTCTTTGAGATTCTTAAGCACTTTCTTAGAAGGACGAGGTCCTTTGGCCTGTTGTTTAAGCTTGAATGGGCGAATGGAGGTGGAAGCAGATGCAGCAATTTCCGCGGATGCGCCGCCTTCAGCAATTCCCTCTTCATTGAATCCATTAGGTGCGTCCACCGCGGCTTCTCCCCCTGATGTTAAATCAATGAGGAGGGGGAGCCCGACAGCCCCGAGAACATCATCAAGAGTGGGACTGACATAGTCAGTAGTGGCAAAGACACAGTCAGTGAGAGGAACTCCCACACGATGAAGCAGCTGAGTAACCAAGCTCGCAAAAGGTAGAACAGCCGTAGGAGACTCGTTGGCAGCAGCATCTATGATCGCTCCAAACAGCAGATGAGGATAACTAAGAGACATGTCGGAGATCGGAGACAGCATGCGACATAATCCAGCAATCATGAGGGAGGATACGATTGAAAATCGTAATCGGAGAAGAAGGGGAAAGGGTCGTGCTGGAAAGCTTTGAGACCTCGCTGGGAAAGACGAGGTCGTCGCGCATCGGGGATTGCCGTTTTGATTTTCGTTTTCGTTTTTTAATGTTATGTCTTTAGTGAGGTTCATTATCAAACTATATTAGAGAGGGTGCTAGATCAACACAAAAAACAAAGAAGTGAACGAATATTCAAGAAAAAGTAAGTTCATGATTCAAAACTGACAAGATCAGATTGGAAAATCATTCCTAACTCACTACGGGTAAATAGGAACTGATCTATAGGGAGCGTTTTAGTAAAAATATCCACTAGTTGATCACTCGTAGGTATAAAAGAAATATACATGGCTTTACTCTAAACTAGCTCTCGAAGGAAATGGTATTTAATCTCTATATGTTTTGTTCTAGAGTGTTGAACCGGGTTTTTGGACATATTAATAGCACTCGTATTATCACATAAAATGGGAACAGTAGGAAGTGTAATCCCATAGTCCGTTAGTTGAGTCCTTAACCATATACTCAGCTTCAGCGGTGGAGAGGGCTATGGAACCACGAAATTAAAGATCGGCCATAAAATTGACAAGTTCCAGAGGTACTTTTTCTATCCGTTCTACTGCCGGCAAAGACGGAATCACTAAACCCTATAAGCTCAGGATTTGTTTTCCTAGGATACCATAGGCCTAGAGTAGGTGTACCTTTCAAGTAATGGAAGATGCGCTTAACGACACTAAGATGACTTTCCTTAGGCTTGGACTGAAAATGAGCACACATACAGACACTGAACATAATGTCTGGCCTACTTGCTGTGAGATAAAGAAGCGATCCTATCATCCCACGGTATTTACGTTCATCAACATCTATACCACCTTCATCTTTGTCTAATTGAATATTGGTAGCCATTGGGGTCGAACTAGGATTAAGATTACTAAGATCGAACTTGGACAACATTGACTGAGTATAGTTTTTCTGACTAATGAAAATTCCTTTTGAGGTTTGTTGGATTTGAATTCCTAGGAAGTAGGTAAGCTCACCCATCATACTCATTTCAAAATTTTGTTGCAAGGAGGAGGCAAAGTCTACACACATAGCTTCATTAGTAGCACCAAAAATTATGTCATCAACATAAATCTGGACGATCATAAGGTCATTGTTATGTTTCTTTAGAAATAGAGTTGTGTCAATAGAACCCCTGACAAACCCTTCACTCTCTAGGAATTGAGTTAGACGTTCATACCACGCTCGAGAAGCTTGTTTTAAGCCATAGAGAGCCTTTTTAAGTTTGAAAACATGGTTAGGGAACCTATGATCTTCAAAACCAGGAGGTTGTTCTACATAGACCTCTTCATGAAGGTTTCCATTCAGAAATGCTCTTTTGACATCCATTTGATATAATTTAAAATTCATTGAGGAAGCAAAGGCACATAATAGTCTAATTGCCTCAATACGAGCTACGGGAGCAAATGTTTCATCATAGTCTATTCCTTCTTCTTGATTATAGCCTTTAGCCACCAATCTAGCCTTATTCCTATTAATTATCCCTTGATCATCTATTTTATTGCGATAGACCCATTTAAGTCCTAGAATAGTTTTACCTATTGGTCTAGGAACCAAATCCCATACTTGGGCTCTAGCAAATTGAAGCATTTCTTCTTGCATAGCAAGAAGCCAACTTTCATCAAGTAAGGCTTCCTTAAAGTTTTTAGGCTCAATTAAGGATAAATAGACTCTATCAAGAAGTGAAAAAGTAAGAAGTCTGACCTTGATACAAGTCCTTACTTGATCTTGTTTTGACTCCATCATTAATGTTCCCAATGATTTGATGCGGAGGATGTGCCTTGGCAATACGAGGTGGTGCACTTGGATCTTGGGATTTGGATAACTCATCATGCGAAAGCTCCGCTTCTTGAGTGACTGAGGTTGTCGTCGTTCGAATTAGTCCCAAGTCATCTTTATCATCGTCATGTTTGCTTTCATGCTCAGAGATATAGTCAGTTTCATAAAAAAACAACATGTATTGATTCCCCAAACTTCAAGGATCACTTGTTGAAGAATCTATAGGCTTTACTACGAGTAGAGTAACCCAAAATTACTGCCTCATCTGGCTTTGAGTCAAATTTTCCTAGAGTATCCTTAGTGTTGAGTACAAAGCATCTACACCCAAATGGTCTAAGATAACTGATAATTGGTCGCCGATCTTTCCAGATTTCATAAGGGGTTTTCTCTATGATGGCCCTAATCAATGTTCTATTTAGAACATAACAGGCGGTAGCTAGTGCTTCAGCCCAAAAATATTTTGGGAGCCTATAGTCACTAAGCATTGTTCTAGCTAGTTCTATAAGAACTCTATTTTTCCTCTCAACTACACCATTTTGTTGGGGAGTCCTAGGAGCTGAAAATTCATGGGAGATCCCTAGTTGATCACAGAAGTTTCCAAAACTTTCTGAATCAAACTCTCCTCCATGATCACTTCTGATGCTTTTAACACTAAGGGATTTCTCATTCTGAATATTTTTGTCAAGGATCTTGAATTTCTCAAGAGCTTCATCTTTGTGAGTCAAAAATATTACCTAAGTATATCTAGAAAAATCATCTACTATGACAAAGGCATAATACTTTCCACCAAAGCTCATCACATTCGTAGGCCTAAAGAGATCTAGATGTAGGAGCTCTAAAGGTTTGGATGAGGTGAAGTGAGATATACTCTTGAAGGTTGCTCGAGTTTGTATTCCTAGAATACATGCATCACAAAAGAAGTCCTTTGATTCTTTTAACTGAGGAAGACCACCTACTAGACCCAATTTAGCTAATTTAGCCAATCTCTTCATGCTAACATGTCCTAGTCTTCGATGTCATTGAAATTGCTTGTTCTTACCTAAAGAGAGAAAACATGTTTCATTGAATGAAGCCTTTTTACTAAGGTCAATGACATCGACATTGTTTTTCCTAACACCTAGGAATAATAATTTGTTGTCTTTGATTCTCTCAATAAGACATGTCTCCGGTTGAAACACAACTCTATTAGTTGTACCACATAAATGACTAATATATAACAGGTTGTGCTTAAGACTATCAACAAATAACACTTGAGTGAAGGTAGGATTTGGAGGCTCTCCAATCGTATCAGCTCCAAGTATTCTACCTTTACCATTATCACCAAAGGTTACTTTACCTCCCTTTTTAAGAGTCAACTCTGAAAAGAGACTCTTGTTTCCCGTCATATGGTGAGAGCATCCGCTATCTAGATACCATTCATTTGTTCATGTTCTCTTAATGACCTGCAAAATATTTAGAGTGTTGATTTTGGTACCCAGACTTGCTTGGGTACCTTTTTCTTGGGATACGATTGATATGAGCTATAATAGTTATTGTAGTAGCAATTTCTCCTAATGTGTCCTTGTTTATGACAACAATAACATACAATTATTGAATGACATTCTTGTTTAGTGTGTCCTTTTCTAGTACATTTACTACACCTCACATTTTTCTTGCATTCTTTACTATGGTGACTCTTTCCACAATTCATGCACCTAATTTTGTCATTATCTCCACTATGAGCATTACATTCAACACACATAATTGATTTATTATGAGGTTTTTCCACCTTTTCTTTAGACTTCTTTTCCTTGTCTTCTAATCGCTCTATCTTGGCATTTGCTTCAAGAAGTTTAGTCCTAGAGTCTATTATCATTCTTTCCAGTTCATTATATCTAACTCTCATATCTTCTAGTTCTTCAAGGGGTCTGTTATTCTTGAGTTTACCCTTTGATTTCTTCATAACTTGATTTTCATCACCTAATATTGCAATATCCTCTTTTAATTCCTTAATTTCATTCTTGCTTAGTTTCAAATCCTCTTTCACCTTGTAGTATCTATCTTTTAGTTTTTGAAAATGATTTTGCATTTCTTCATATGCTTTAACTATACTACTACGAAGATTTGAGCCACAATCACTATCATAAGTTGCAAAGGATGAACATACCTCATCTTCATGTGATCTTGACGAAGAGGATCCATCATCACGGTTGGCAAACGCCATATAGCCTTGTATTTCACTTTCGTTATCTTCACTTTCATCTTCTGATCCACTCCAAGCCACTGTATAAGCCTTTTCTCTACTCCGTCCTTTGTTAGGACATTCAGCCCTTACATGACCACTCTTTCCACATTTGTAGTATTTTGGTAAACCTTGATCTTTACACTCACTTTCCACTTTATTTTTCTTCTTTTAATTATTAAAAGATTTTACCTTTCCATTTCTATTATTCTCACGAAAAATAGAAAAAACTACCCCTTACTTGTTTTCTTTCTAATTTTATAAACTTTTTGAATTTTTTTGAAATGAGAGCAAATCCTTGATCGAAATCATCTCCTAATCCTTCATCATTGGTGACTTTCTTCTCGCAACCCTTGAATGCTAAACTTTTATTTTTCTTGTCATTATTCTCATCACCTTGAGCTTTTAAGGCAATTTCATGACTAATTAGAGATCCTATCACATTTTCAATACTAAGAGTAGGTAGATTTTTAGCCTCTTCTATGGCAGTTTTCTTAGGCATCCATTCTTTGGGTAGACACCAAAGAATTTTCCTAACCAGTTCAGCATTATCATAAATTTTTCCTAACGCACTTAGTCTACTTACTATTAAGTTAAACGGAACATACATATAAGAAATAGACTCACCTGGGTGCATTTTGAACATTGGATATTCATACACCAATTGATATATCCTGGATTCTTTTACCTCAGTTAACCCTTCATGTGATACTTCCAAGGTTTTCCAGATCTGATGTGCCGTCTTGCACCTGTTCACCTTATTAAATTCATCTGGACATATTGCACAATATAAGACATTTGTTGCTTTAGCACCTAACTCCATCTTCTTTAGATCATCGTTAGACCATGTGTTGGGATCATCTTTGATATCACCCACACCATTCTCAACCACATTCCAAACGTCAAAACCCATCCCTTTAAAGAAAACAATCATACGTGTTTTCGAAAAGGAATAGTTGTATCCATCAAACCATGGTGGTCTAACATATGAAAGATCCTCCATA